TAGTTTGCTACAACCACTCCCAATACTGGAATAGAAATGAGAGCACATTACCATGGACTTCATCGTGGGATTGCCTCGTTCTTCTCGAGGTATGGACTCTATTTGGGTTATAGTTGACCGTTTAACTAAGTCTGCCCATTTTCTGCCTGTCAAAACTATTTATAACGCTGATAAATTGGCTAATATCTACATGACTGAAATTGTGAGATTGCATGGAGTGCCAGTATCTATTGTGTCTGACAGGGACTCAAAGTTTGTATCGAGGTTTTGACAGAGTTTACAACAGGCTTTGGGAACTGAATTGAGACTAAGCAATGCCTATCACCCACAGACAGATGGCCAAACTGAACGAACGAATCAAACTCTGGAGGATATGCTCAAAATGTGTGTGTTAGACTTCCAGGGGAATTGGGAGACCTACTTGTCATTAGCTGAATTCGTGTACAATAACAGATATCATTCAAGCATCGAAATGGCTCCTTACGAAGCTTTATATGGAAGGAAGTGTCGTTCTCCGATATGTTGGGCTGAAGTAGATGATAGACCTTTATTGGGACCGGAACTTGTGCAAGAAACAACCGAGAAAGTGAAGCTGATACAGCAGCGTCTGAAAACTGCACAGAGTCGGCAGAAAAGCTATGCCGATGTTCGAAGGAGAGATAGGGAATATGAAGTTGGAGACCATGTGTTCATAAAGGTGACCCCGATAAAGGGTCAAACTCAGTTTGGTGTTAGGGGCAAATTGGCGCCAAGGTATGTTGGACCTTATGAAGTTTTCAAAAAGATCAATCCAGTATCGTATCGGGTAGCCTTGCCTCCAGTAATGGAACATATGCATAACGTTTTTCATGTATCGATGCTTTGAGAGTACTTGAGAGATCCATTTCACATCATTGAACCGACACAAGTGCTTCTGAAAGATGACTACACTTATGAGGAGAGACCTATCCAGATTGTGAGTCGCCTAATCAAAAAGTTGAGAAATAAAGAAATATCATTAGTGAAAGTTGATTGGCAGAACCACGGAGGAACCTACGCAACTTGGGAAACCGAGGAAGACATGATGAAGAGATATCCGGATTTGTTCTCTTTGGACCCAATGTTAATTCCGAATGAAGGTAATTCGAGTTTGGAGGACCAAACTCTTTTAAGGGAGGAAGACTGTAATGACCCCGACCTCCGATTAATGCTAATTCGTGATTAATTATGCTTAACAGTAATCTAGAAAGGATTTGGAGTTTATATGCATGCGTATTACATTATTTACGTGTTTCTATCTGTCTGCGATAAAATGGTCTGTCCATGTCTCTAACTTTAAATTGCGAATTGAAAGCCTTATCGGCGTCCGAATCAGAAATTGACTTGATTTATGTGCTAGTTAGGATTTATAGAATTTTATGGTAGGTTTAATTAAATTTCGGTTCGGAGCGATTAAACTAGATTAAATAACGTTAAATTACATTAGTCTAATTATTTACGAAATTGCCCTTTTGTGGGCCACTACCTACAAAATTGTTTGGAGCCTTTGATACATCACTCTTGTCCAACCTTTAGAGACAAAAAACGTGAGAAAGAATGGGAGTGTGAGAGACTTGTCTTCAACAAGAGATTTGAGCTTGAACTTGGAGGAATTGAAGAATTGTGTGCATACTTGAGCTTCTAGGCTTGGAATTGAAGACTTAAGGTAGGAGAATTACCTTCTTAATTGTGAATTGAGTTAGTTCTTGCATGGTTCATATGAAATTACTTACCTAAGCCTAAGATTAGCTCAAACATGTTGAATTTAAGCTTAATTCATGCATGCATGTTCATATCATAACAATTTGAAGTGTTTTCATGGAATTTCTTGCATGCAAGACCATGTTCTAGTTATAGTCCATGAGTTCATCATGATTTTGAGTTTAATCTTGCATTTGGCTACATTCTTGGAGCATTGGATTCAATTGAACACTTGCATGTTTTGTTCTTTATTAATTCTTAAAGTTTTACTTGGAATTGTGTTCAATTGACTCACCCTTGGGCTTTGATTTTACAAATTGAGCTTTGAAACATCTTATACTATGAGTTTACAAGTGTTTTTCCAAAAATTAGCCCAAAATGATCGAATTTGATGCATTGTAGTTGAGTTTTGAGCTTGAGGTTCGAATCTGGAAATTCCAGATTTTGGACTCACGCTCGAGCGGGAAACTCTACGCTCGAGCGTACATACCGGGTTCATGCAGTACGCTCGAGCGGGTAAAATGAGGCTCCAGCGGTAATTTCATGTATTCAGTACTTTGCATGTGTTTTCAGTCCGCTCGAGCGGGGTAATTCACGCTCGAGCGAGGACTTGTGTATCACGCTCGAGCGGGTATCGAGCGCTCATCGAGCGTGAATTTCATGCATCCAGCACTTTTACTGTAGCCTGCAGTTCGCTCGAGCGGAGTAATACACGCTCGAGCGTATTCCTTTTTTCTGCATGTCCGCTCGAGCGTATAAGTACACCCTCGAGCGGGACTCCTGTTTCAGCAAAGTTTTGAAAAGTGTTTTAAAGTGCATCTTTGCATCCCCATCCCATCCTAGGCATTCCTAAGCCATGTTTAAGACTCCATAATGAGGTTAATGGTTAAGCACACACTAAGAATAACGAACTAAGTTACGTCTAACTCGAGCGTCTGTTTTAAGCGGATAATTGTATGTGTGTTCGTGTAGGTCACGCACCTCAGGACAAGTGAAGAGCCATTTTACCATCTAGTTGGGCCGACCAATTGTTTGAGAGTAATAACTTTGTAAAGTTATGTTTAACTTTAATTATTTTCCAATGACATGAGATGATAAGGTTTGAAATGCTATGTTTTGAATGAGTGAACGATTGTCTAATCTTCCTTGAAATGTAAACGTGGTATCCTTAGCCGAGGCCTTCGCCCAGGGGACACAATACTGAGGCATATGGTCATGAGGCCCTAGCCCGGGGGTTAATACCGTGGCACAGGGCCTCGCCCGGGGGAAACAATACCGTGGCACAGGCCCTCGCCCAGGGGAAACAATACCGTGGCACGAATATGTTACCCGGTACCGGAGGTTCCATTATGGGACTTACTATGCTTGACTAACATGATATGTTGTACTAAGGGGAATGTAGCACACATGATTTGAATATGGATATGACTGTGATTCTTTTCTAATACGAATATGATTATGTTTCCGATCTGATAAGGGATTGATTTCTGATTTCTATATTCAATATGGTCATCATTCATTAAACCCCTTTACTCTGTTATTATTCACTGGGCTTTAGCTCACTCCTTATATTATGTATGTAGGTGAGCAAGTACGAGACCAGGCCCGGGGTTGATGGCCTACACCCCAGTTTTGTCAGCCAACCATTGCGCCTCCCGAGGAGGTTCCAGTTGAAGTCAATCGCCATGGCTGTTTTTGTAGTTATGCTAGTCTATGTCTGTTTGTAAAGTCAGGATCTGGAAGCTACAGTCTGTAAATATTTGTGAATATTGGTGTCCCTTGACTAGCATGCTTATGAATATAAATATATTTGACTTACTCTGTCCCATGTACATCATCACAGCTCATTGGACTTTGGTCTAGTTGCTTCCGCAGCCCCTTATTACTTGCTAATCTGCTAAGAGGCCTTTGGTAATCCGAGAATTACTGGACGGTTATGACGCTAAACCTATTAGGGCGGGTTTGGGTCGTGACACTTAACTGAAGAACCCATGTGAGTCGTGGTTAGGCATTGGGGGTAAATTGTAGGCAAAAAAAGGCAAGGTAAGAAATAGAAAATAAAAATAGACTGTACGTCATCACAGCTCATTGGACTTTGGTCTAGTTGCTTCCGCAGCCCCTTATTACTTGCTAATCTGCTAAGAGGTCTTTGGTAATCCGAGAATTACTGGACGGTTATGACGCTAAACCTATTAGGGCGGGTTTGGGTCGTGACACTTAACTGAAGAACCCATGTGAGTCGTGGTTAGGCATTGGGGGTAAATTGTAGGCAAAAAAAGGCAAGGTAAGAAATAGAAAATAAAAATAGACAAGGTCAAATGAGGCTTAGCTTCAAGGTGAGAGTATATATAATGAAAGTATAAATATCACTTAAAAGTAATTTTGCTAAATAAGAGAAAGAATTTTAAAATATAAGGAGAGTACCTTAAATAGAAATATTAAGGAAATATTTTCAATATGATAGTTTTAAAAATCAAACTTCTATACTTTTAGGAGAAAAATTTAGAATTAAAATCAGATACAATACTGAGCATATATAAGAATTAAAAGATTAAAAATAAAAATATCAATATCTATTATCATTAAATTCCGATAAATCTTTATTACATGATAATTTAAAAGCCACACAAATAAATAAACAGTTAATCATTATTGGCGCTGTTTGGGAAGCCTCGGATGAGGCTGTTACAGCCTATTTTCAAAAAATAGCTAAAAAGCGTCACTGTTGAAAACTTTTTCAAAAAAAAATGTATATATATATATAGGCTGCTGCCGGACAGTGCAGGCATTACATGATAATTTAAAACCACACAAATAAATAAACAGTTAATCATTATTGGCGCTGTTTGGGAAGCCTCGGATGAGGCTGTTACAGCCTATTTTCAAAAAATAGCTAAAAAGCGTCACTGTTGAAAACTTTTTCAAAAAAAAATGTATATATATATATAGGCTGCTGCCGGACAGTGCAGGCACAGCCTACACTGTCACAGCCGGACATTTGTTACATCATGGCTAAATTACCATTTTGTCCCTTTATATTAATTTTAAAAATAAAAAATTAGGGATAAATTTATTATTTTAAATTTAAACATTATTTCAACACACTTTTTAATACAACAACTCAACTAAAAAATCATCTCATATTTCCAAACACAAAACTAAAATAACTTATTAAAATAATCAAATAACCTACTAAAATAGTCACTTTCCAAACGAGTCCATTGTTTCTTTTATTTTGCCGTAAATAATTTCACATATCCAAATCCAAACAAAGTCGCTTTTCCCAAACACTCGGTATACACTTGCTCGTTCCTGCATGACTGTGTATTCTCTCTCACGCACACACAAACACACGCAACAATGCGAGAGAGAAGTTCCACTACTTCGTCCACCATTCCAATCGAATCAATCAACTCAATCACGACCGTGGATTTCGCCGACCACCTACCTCTCCAACTCATCAAATCGGAGACAATCCCTCCGGCGCCGACTCTGTCGGATTCCGCAGTTGATTGGTTGCCGGAGTTCGCCGGTTATTCATGGATCGCATACGGAGCCTCCTCTCTCCTCGTGATCTCTCACTTTCCCTCTCCTCTTTCCGGAGAACAAAACTTGATCGGACCTATTTTCCGGCAAGTCTTCGAACTCTCCACCGACGGTTCCGCCGCCGTATCGGCGGTTTCGTGGTCGCCGGTATTGCCTTCGGACGGTGAACTCGCTGCTGCTGTTGGTAATTGCGTCGGCTTGTTTTCGCACAATTCTGGTTCTTCTGATGGTAAGTGTAAATTAAATTTTAATTTTTTTCCCAGAATTTAGTTATAAATTTCTGGAATGGATCGTAAAAGATAAGTTTTTGTTGTAATTGTGTGTATGTGTATACATATATGAGATACACATTGATGAGTTTTGACTTTTTTTGTTGTCTATTTTTGCAAATAATGATTTTTTCTACGAGTATTCTTGAGAGTGCGTGCATTCATTGAATGCATTTAAATTAATTTGTGTATTACTGAAGATTGTTATTAATTGAAATCTTTGTAGGGAACTTGGCTTTTAGAAGAAAATGATAATATTAGGGAGATCAGTGGGAGTAGAATTTTCCAAAGAATAAAGGTATTTGAGGTCAAGATAGTATCGAGAAAGATAAAAATAGGAGGGCTTGATAGGAGAGCATCTCCAACTGGCTCTTTTTTAATGGGCTAGCTACTACAATATATAGCTATTTTAACAAAATTGTTCCAAGCTAGCTACATTTGGAGAGCGTTGGGAGGCTTTTTAAACCAGTTTGTGTGGATAGATAGGTAAAATAAAGCGTAGCGTTGGAGCACATAGACGAAAATTTGGTTAGGTAAAATAAAAAGTGTATACTTTTTTATACTTTAGCTAGTGAAAGATGAAGAGTAGCATTGGAGGTGCCCTAAATAATCTTGGAGATCAAACAATACAAAAATTAGGAAACAACCTTAATTGAGCAATCTAAAAATTAAGAGACAACCAACTACTCTACTTCTTGAAAAGCAAGTAACTTAAAAATTAAGAAAACAAAATCAATGTAAATGAAGAAACCTCATAAATCTAGGATATTCATACCAAATTATAAGATTCCTAATCAAATACTAATTTCAAAATCCTAATAGTAAAAATATAAATACTCTTAAAATATTTTCCTACATCAAGAAGTTCAATAAATTTTCACCATAAGTATTAGTTATTGGGTATCATTTATACACATACATATCACATATATATCCCTCTCTATTTTGTGAATATCTTAAATTTGAACTTCCTTACTCATATTCAGGTTCTTTTTCTTGGAGCCAGACTGCAGTGCTTGTGCAACATACGAAAGTGGAAACCATCAAATGGACGGGCTCTGGCGATGGGATTATTGTAGGTGGTGTTGAAGTGGTCTTGTGGAGAAAGAAAACCAGGTCCTGGGAAATAGCTTGGAAGTTTGAAACAGAACTGCTTCAAACTTTGGTTTCTACAACCTTCTCTATTGAAGGACCATTGGCAACGGCACCTTTGAATACACTACATGCTGATGAATCATCATCCCGGGTCATTGAGGCAAGCAAATGTGTGCTTGTGTGTTATGGTGATGGAAAGTCCAATTACATGAAAGTTGAGCTACGGCATCCTATGCCCGTTTCTATGATTCAATGGAGGCCTCTAATAGGAAAACAATCGAAGCTCGATGCTAGACATTCACCGAGGCATGTGTTGCTGACATGCTGCCTAGATGGAACAGTAAGGTTATGGAGTGAGATTAGTGATGGGAGGGGCAGAAGAATAGGTAAGGACATTCATGATCAGAAAATCACGAGAAGATCTTTCCATGTTGCTGCCACAATTGAGATAAACCAAACATTGGATGGTACTCTGGGCTCCAATATATTTGTTAGTTGGGCAACAGAAATTGATGGTTTGGTAACTGCTGGTAAAGAAGCCAACCAATATTTTTCTTCTGGAGGTCATCATCAGCATGACAAGATTGGAAGGTGTGAGTGGTTAGTAGCATTTGGGCCTCATATGTTGGTGACCTTCTGGGCCATTCACTGTCTCGATGACGTCCCAATGAGGTCTCCACGAGTGACTTTATGGAAGAGACAAGAATTAATGGGTGCGAACATTGGAACTAATGGTTTCCTACTCAATAAAGTTGTTATCTTGAGAAATGAACTTTTTGGTCCACCAAACATATGCTCTTTAGTTCGGTTATTGCCTTGTAATTCCTTCAGCTGGTCACAATTTTATACTCCGATATCAACTAATGTAGAGGAGGGACCTTTATATAAATCTGAGAAAGAGAACTTTTTGTCAACTCATGCTTGTGGAGTTCTAAATATAGATGGTCATACTGGAAAAGTTTTACAAGTTGCAGTGCATCCGTATGGATCTGTCATTGAACTTGCTGTTTCTTTGGATACTGATGGATTGCTTTTATTTTGGTCACTTTCAACCAATTCTAATTGTGTTATGGGCCTGCCTACTTTGTATCCGATGTGGAAACTTTCTGGAAAAATTGAAATGCAGGATTCTTATCCCAAATATATGAGCTTGACGTGGGCACCTTCAGTTTTAGATGAGGATACGCTTCTTCTTATGGGACATGATTGGGGCGTTGATTGTATTGTGGTTAAGTTTTTCAGAAATGAAGAAGAGAAGATATTATGTCATAACTTATGCACTATCCCTTTTACTGGCCACTGTCATGGAAATGGGCCCACCAATATCTACTCAATTCCTTTGCCTTCATCCTGTAAGAAAACCTTTAGCTTCAACAATTTTTTGCTCTTAGCAATATGGAAGAAGGGCTTTCAGGCTTTGTCATGGAAAATCACCATTCATTCTTATGATTTGGATAATAACTTTTGTGGATGCAATTTTGATACTGGAAAGGCAGTTAGAAATAGTTCGTGGGCATTTGAAAGCAATTTTGCCGGAAAAAGATATTGTATTGTTGTTGATTCTTGTTCTTCGTCATTGCCAAAACCACACAACAAGGATGAGGTTACAAGTTTTGCCGTGGTTTGTCCTGGTATTTCTTTTTTCTCTGAAGAAGAAAATAGGACTTCTGTTGATGAATTGTGCTGCAATTATTCTGTATATCACATGGCCACAGGCTGCACCAATGGTAGTTTGAAGCTATGGAGAAGTGTGTTGACTGAACAATCAAACTCAAATTTACAGTGGGAACTTGTGGGTATGCTTGCCGCACATCAAGGCCCCATCACATCAATATCTTTAACCGATTGTGGCCGGAAGATTGCAACTGTCTGCCCTACAGGTCCTTCAAATACTTCTAGCGCTGTTCATATATGGGAATCTGTGCACCTTGCAGGCACAGGCAGTTTTTTACTTGAAGATACATTATTTTTTGATGGAGAAGTTGTTGCTTTAAAATGGTTAACTATGGGAAGTGGCCAGCTATTACTTGGGATTTGCTTACAAAATGAATTGCAGGTATATGGTGAAAGACATAGTGATTCTCAGCCTCTGATGAAACAGGGAAAATCTTTAGGAGGAAACATTTGGTTTTGCATTGCATTTGCTCATGCTTACCCTGCTATCCGTGAGTTCCTTTGGGGCCCTAGAGCCACAGCTGTGGTTGTTTATGATCGGTATTTTTCTCTCTTCAGTCAGTGGTTATTCTTGGCTGATAAGAAATATCAGACTAAGTTCAATTCAGGAAGTAGCAAGGACAATTTTTTTAATTACAAGGGTGGATCAGATAAAGATATGGTTAGTGCAATTTTCATTGCTCATGATATTTTAGAATCCAAGGAATCAGCAGCAAAAGACAATTGCGAAGAACCACGGTCCACACTCCCTATGAAGATGAATATAAAAAATGATATTCTGTCAAGCATACTTGTAGCAAGCGCTCTGCAGAAATATAATTCAGATATCAAGATTGCTTTCTGTAGTATGCAAGAAATAGCAGAGAAGTTACATGGATCTCTACCTGTTTATCATCCCAAGGCACTCCTATTGAATATTTATTCAGGTTTGTAATTTGTGAGTGTTTTTTCTTTTGGAAACTCCTACACTCAACTTTCAGCTTTGTAAATCTGAATAAATTTTAGGACGACCATTTATTAGATGCTCAAATTTGCACGTGCACATAGCCTGTTGGACCTCTCTCTCTCTCTCTCTCTCTCTCTCTCTCTCTCTCCCCCCCCACCCCCCCCCCCCCCAACACACACACACACACTCTTTTCATTTCTGTTCACAATGTATTTATGGGGAACAGTCATCTTAACAGTGACATTGAGATTTTTGAATTGTACTGGAGAGGGGGCAAGTGAGTAATATTCATTAGAAGAAAAGGCTAGTATGTACATTTGCCTTTACTATATGTTTCTTTCTTTCTTTCTTTTTCTTGGTTTAGCAGCACAAAAATTTATTAATGAAAGATAAGAAGATTATATCAGGCGACTAGAAGAAAGATCAAAAGAAGACAAAGAAAATAAGATTAGAAATCATGAACAACTCTCCAATCTCTACTATTCAAAAACAAAGGAATCCCCTTAAAAGGCGTCACTGACGGCCAAAGCAAAGACAAATAACAGATTTTATCCCATAAGCCTTCAAGAACATCAAACTTATCCCTATAAATTGGTGGCGCTTCTCTCCAACCAAATAACCTAGAACAAAGTGAAAATGACACAACTCCAAAGCACCAGACCCTTCCTCTATGTTTCTTTTTTAAAACAGAATCAGCATAGTCTATAAAATATGTCAAAACAAAAGTGTAGAATTTTGCAAACAACAAAATTTTGGAATTTAGTTATTCTACTAGGTATGGAAGATCATGTATGGGGTAAAGGTTGGTGGCTAGTGGTGTTAATGATGAGAGCAGAGTGGTGATGGTGGTGTTGGGTGGTTAAATAGATGATGAAGGCATTGTTCAATATTCATAAGGTAGTGGAAGTTTCGATTCTGGATTGTTGAGGAAGCGGCAGCAGTGACGGTGCCATTGGATCTGTTGGTGTGGTGATGGTAGAGGTGGTTTTTTTTATGGCAATCATTGTAGTGGGGTGTAACAGAGTGAAGATTCAATTTTCTTTGTGTTTAAACTTTGAAGTAGTGATAAACGCACCATTGTTTTGCAGAAAAGGTACTCTTGTGCTCTAACTGAAGACAGCCTATTTTCCTTTGTTTTCCTGTTGTGTTTCCACATGCCATTAAAGTTCCAATCTGCAATAATGTTATCCATCTTCTGTTTAGATTTCAACTCTCTATTTTACAATATGCTCTTTTTCAATTGCAACTATATTTGAATGCTATTAATGCATATCTGAACACAGATACAAGCATGTAATAAGTGTTTTCTTTCAGCTAAAGTTAATTTTAACCAAAAAATTTCATTTGTGTTCAGGTCACTGGAAACGTGCATGTGTAGCTCTACGACATCTTGTTGAATATCTCAGTTCTAGTAATGCTTCTCTGAGAGGATATTGCTCTGCACAGTGTAGCCATGCCATTCCACTTGTTCACTTGTCAAATTATGTTGAAGGAGTTATGTCAACAAGTTTGAGTGGCAAAGCATTCCAGTGTAGGGACAATGCCTCGTTAATCACCTCACATTTGCAGCTTCCTAAAGACTTGAATCAATTTGCATTTAGTTGGGGGTCTGATACTTCCAGTAAAACATTCACTTCATCTTCAACAAATTCTGAACTTAGTGGCTGCATTGAAGCAGTTGAGAAGTTGCATGATATTGCAGCTATAAGCAACACAGAAAAGATGCAAATTCTTGCTGTTGTTGATCTTCTCTGTGACGTTAGCGATCCACACTCTGCTTCTGCTTATAAAAGTCTTGATGAACCTGGTCGAAGGTACTTATGATTTTTGTTGATTATGTGGGTACCATGGATTTAACATATATGTTCTTTGCCATTTGGGGTATCTCTTATATAAAGACTTCATGTCTAGGTTATGATTTTACTGGACTTATTTTGATTTTGAGGTTGGTCTATTCTCTTAGATTTCTTGTACCAAAAATCATAAAACTGGTTGTTTGACAACCTAGTTGCTAACTTTCTATTGAGGAGGATGGGACTTCACTTGTGTTATGTGGATGGAAGAAATGCTGAAGCAAAAACTAGAGGATTGTATTGGAGCTCGCTTCGCTCTTGTACTCTTGTTCATATATGTTTTGTCGAGGCAATAGGGACTGTCGATCTATGTCACTACTGAGTAGGTGTGCTTGAGCGGTGCTCTGGCCCAACGCCTTGGACTCCCCGTGCTTTGACTTTCTTCATTTGGTGCTTTGGCATGCCTCTACGACACTGAGTGTGTTAGTGGGCCAAGCTATCATACTTGGTGATTCATGTGCCTTAGGCTAGGCGCATAACTCCAATAGTTTGTTTAGTAGATGTCATGGCACCCTGAGGGCATGCCATGCGGAGGTCGTATTCCTAAGTTGTGGGTGACGTGGTGTTGGATTGTGTCCCCATGTTAGAATTTCCCATCTTTACCTTCACCTACTCCACTACACACTCCACTTCACCTACCTCCACTTCACCACACACTCCACTTCACCTAACCCACTATCACCTCCACTACACCTACTACCACATTTTCTTCTATATATAGATTGTATAGGAATTGTAATTAATCAATCTTGTAAGACATCAATCAATCAATAATACAGTATTTTTTTTAACACCCCATCACCTGGAGTTGCCCCATTTGTGCTGGTTATAAGGCTTCAGAATGTGGGCTAGGCTTTTCAATTTGGTATCAGAGCTTGGTTGGGCTTGTGACTGGTGTGTCGTTTGTCTGGCTACTGTATATTGTGGTTCAGGAGGTGTATTGGAATGTATCCCACATCGTCTGGAGTTGCCCCCATTTGTGTTGTTTATAAAGCTCTAGTTTCCCTTTTCTTAACACCTGGATTTTAAAGAAAAGTGTGGGCTAGACTTTTTAATTCGTGGTTCCCATGGGGCCTACCGCATACTGGGGGTTGTTAAGTCACCTACGCTACCATATCCGTATTTTATGCTGTTAAAATCCACCCACTACACCACTACCACCTCACCTACTCCACTAAACCTAACCCACTACACCACTATCACCTCCACTTCACCTTCTCCACTAAACCTAACCCACTACACCATTACCACCTCCACTTCACCTACTCCACCTACCACCTACTACCACCTACTCTTCTATATATAGGAATCATTGTAACATATCAATATAAATCAATCAATAATACATCAATTTTAACATGGTATCAGAGCAGGTTTAGAACCTAGCATTTTTGCTTCACCGGCGGGCGGCAACTTCGCCTTGGCCGCCCGCCGGACCTCAACCTAGTCTGCTAGAATTTTCTACACATACCTTGAAATTTCTTTGAGTCCACCACCACTGCCCCTCCTCTCACTGTTGTCCTCCCATACACCACTGTCTCGGTCGTCTTCATTCACCCCCACATGTCCAAACCAGCCGCTGACTGTCCTCATCTCCCTCAGGCAGGTCCTCAGCATCACTTTCCTTATCATTTTCTTCCTGATCCTTCCCGCCAGAAACATCATCAGCAGCTCCTTCCTGAGGCTTTGAACTCCCTTCTAGTTCAACATAACCAGAAACAGAAGCCGAAGATGATTCACCAATTACTGCATTTTTAACAGATCCATCTTTATCAGAGAATTGTTGAGATTCCAGTTTAATGCAGCTTGCTTCTTCAAGTTCCACTGCTGTTGGTGCCAATGTCTCAGCACGAAGAACCGCATCTTCAATCTTCTTTCTTAAAGAGAACATACCCAGTTCTTTGTAGACCTTGTTCTTGTCCTCCATAGACTGAGAAGCTCGAATTGTTGCAGATTGAAATGGGCAAGCATTGAATTTGACACTTCTTGAAGCTTTCCATTTTGGGGTGAATGAAGCATTTGAATCAACTGTCCATACAGATACTGATTCAGCAGCTATTGTAGCCATGGAAGAGCAACCGAGTCACTCTTCTCTTCGAACTGTAATTGTGCTGCCAAGGCAACAATGAACCCACAAATTTATCTTCTCCATATCTCTCTCTCTCTGTGTAAGTGTATATATGCACACACATACACATATACACTTCTATATACACCTCTAATTTCAGTTGTATATCCACAATTTTTTTTTTAAATTTTTTTTTGAAGAAGTCCTCACAGTAACAGCCTTACAGATCCTCTCTCCCATACGCTCTATGTCACCTGGAAGGCCTATAGTATCATTTCCAATTTCACTGAGATCATACTGCATTTGGTGGTATAGCTGATATGGGGACAAGGGTTTGAGGGTTTCACCAACAGGCATGATGACGGTGAGAATGGTGCCCATGTATGAGGACTTCTTGAGGGTTTCTTGACTTTGTATGAGGACTTCTTGTCCTCCCCTTGTTCTCAACTTTTGTTTCAATAAAGTTGTTTTGTTGTTCAAAAAAAAAAAAAAAAAAAAGAGAATGGTGCCCATGTAGGTGACACCACCTACAGCCCTCTCTCTCTCTCTGTGTGCAAACAACAAATGATATGTTACATATGTATGTATATATATGCATGACAGATGCTTGATATACACACACACACACATATAGGTATGTATAGAGATGCATGTGGAGAGGGTGTGCATAGATATGTACTACGTCACATGTAGTCGGTTATGGGTGTCGGGTGCAGGTGTACATCTAAAAGTTGGTCCTATCAACCCTCAAATTTAAGGGTCCACGAACTTGACAAAAAAGTGTCATATTTTTATATGTCAAATAAAATTGCGTTATATGCAACAAAAATGCAATTTCTCATTTGATAGCACCTATACAACAATATTAACATATAATGTGTTAGAATTTACCATTACCTACCACACACTTACCATCACCTACCACACACTCACCTACTACACTCACCTACTCCTCACCTACCACCACCTAACCTACATCTATATAATCAATCAAAACAAGAAAATACATAAAAATAAAAAAGGATAGGAGACACTGTATGGTCGTGTCAGACCATTGGTGAAGACACTGAATGGTGGTGTCATAACGTTGTAGAGGACACTGTATGGGGGTGTCATAATGTGGTAGAGGACACTGTATGGCGGTGTCAAACCGATGTAGAAGACAGTTTATGGGGTCATGTCGGACCGTTGTAGCAGACAGTTTACAGGGTCATGTTGGACCGTTGTAGCAGACACTTTTGTGACAGTTTACTGAGTCTTGCTGGACCCTTGTAGAAACTAACCGGAATCAATGTCGGGACAGTTTACAGAGTCTTGTCGGACCCTTGAAGGAGCTAACCGGAATCAATGTCGGGACAGTTTACAGAGTCTTGTCAGACCCATGAAGGAGCTAACCGGAATCAATGTCGAGACAGTTTACAGAGTCTTGTCGGACCCACAAAGGAGCTAACCGGAATCAATGTCGAGACAGTTTACAGAGTCTTGTCGGACCCACAAAGGAGCTAACCGGAATCAATGTCGAGACAGTTTACAGAGTCTTGTCGGACCCACAAAGGAGCTAACCGGAATCAATGTCGAGACAGTTTACAGAGTCTTGTCGGACCCACAAAGGAGCTAACCGGAATCAATGTCGGGACAGTTTACAGAGTCTTGTCAGACCCATTAAAAAATCGCATCCTCAAAAGGTGCGCCCAATTCATAAAAAGGCGTGCCATCAAAAGGCGTGCACAATCCATAAAAAAGGCGTGCCATCAAAAGGCGCGCCCACTTCATCAAAAGACGTGCCCGACAGAAAGCGTCGAGCCATCAAAAGGGGCGCCTGACACGCGGCGATGCACGTGATTGACAGAGCGCGTGTCGGCCTCGTCGTCTCTGTCTTTATAAACCAAAGCGAAGTCTGAGGCTTGGAAGCATAACAAACCAGTTGAAACCTCTTCGTTCTCTGTAACATTCTGTAACCAACCCTTCTCTGAAACACTCAGCAACCCAAAAAACATGGCCCTTCTTCCCGTTCAGCTACCCAGAACATAGCCTCTTCTTCCCGTGGTCTGCTCACTCTCTTTCCCGACCTCAACGAGTCAACAAGAGAGATAACTGGTGCGGGGGCCAGTGA